TGTGTTTTGTGTGTGTGAGCTTATGTAGTATGTGAGTGTGTATGAGTTGGAGTGTCAGTGTAGTTTGTGTGAGTGTGTGCATAGAGCCAGTGCAAGAGAGTCAGTGTAAAAAAAAGGGGTCAATGCAAATAGTCTGTGTAGCCATTTGATTAACTGTTCAGCAGTCTTATGGCTTGGTGGTAGAAGCTGTTCAGGAGTCTTTTGGTCCCAGAATTGGCGCTCCGGTACCGCTTGCCATGCGGTAGCAGAGAGAAAAGTATATAACTTGGGTGGCTGGAGTCTTTGACAATCAGCCAGTCAAGATTATCTCAATGATGCAGCTGTATAACTTTTTGAGGATCTGAGGGCCCATGCCAAATCTTTTCAGCCTTCTGAGGGGGAAGAGGCATTGTCATGCCCTCTTCACAACTGTGTTGGTGTGTGTGGACCATGATAGGTCCTTAGTGATGTGGACACTGAGGTACTTGAAGCTCTCGACCTGCTCCACTATTCATGACCCAATTGACTAAGCCCCACACCAGAATTTGGGGCAACCAATCGCAGCGCTCCAATGGATTTCAACTTTTGTTGGGATCCGAGACCTCGTACAAGCTCACATTTGAAACACATGGAAGCAATTGAGGGCATTGCAAATAACTGAGAGTTTTCATCCAAAACCAAATTGTTTAAATGACTAGATAAATGAACAGAGCATGACAGTTACTTGCTACTGTGATTCGTGAAATGCAGAGCTGTTAATAGTGTTTTTCGAACCCGAAATTATACTTTTGTTATTGTTTGCTAGCTCAGCTAGTTAGCTAGCTCTCAGTCTTATTGACCACCCAACATTGCTAACGCTAGCTAGACAGTTAATAATATAACTAGTTTTTTCGAAAAACATGTTATCTAGCTAAGTTTGCCATGTTATGAATATAACTTTCATCTTTGGCTGCATGCTGTGAGAGTGCATTCAGAGCTATCCAGTGGCTAGCCAGTGCCATCCAGTGGCTAGCCACACTACAACCTTCATTTTACCAGGTTCCCATGAAGCAATTGGAATGACAGTCCACCACAACATACCCAAGAGTCTCCTGATTAGCAAGGTGTAGTCTGTGTTTAATTTCATTGTGTATTAAAAACACAGTTTGAGATCATTGTGAGGGGATTTCGTTATGGGTTCGTATGGGGAAATGGGCTTCCTGGGAAAATGTTGACTGAGGTTGCAACAGTAACCAAGGGGGGCTTAGCAAATGGTCAATTGGGACTAGATAATGCTAAACAAGTTTGGAATGTTGTTATATATTGGAATGTTGTTATATAAATACAAAAGACAATAATTAGTTAATTTAAAAAAAGTTACATTAGTTGAAATCGCGCTGTGAATGGAGTAGACTTCAGAATAGCCCTGGGGACATACTTATATGTGCTGTACAGCCTTACCTATGGCTCTCGGGGTATCAGCCTACTCCGTGACACCAACAGAACACAACTGTGAAGAGTTTACACAACTATTAGCTTCATTACTCTTATTGTGGAACTTTAACTGTGTCAAATCACCTTCCCAGTAAGTCTATTGTGTGTATTGGATTCATATTTCAAGGTACAGCCTTACCTATGGATCTTAGGTCCATGACATGGGGTATCAGCCTACTCAGTGACACCCAAAGAACACAACTTTGAAGAGTTTACACAAATATTAGCGTCGTAGGACTTATTGCGGGACTTTAACTTTGGGAAATCACCTTCTATTGTCTATTGTATGTATTGGACATTCATATTGCAATAAACAGCTGCGGGAGGTTTTGTGGGTAAAAAACAAACACTTCAGGTCACTCTTGAACATCTAAAACTAGATATAAAATATGTAGAAATTATAATGGACCTACAGTGCCTTTAGAAAGTATTCATACCCCTTGACTTATTCCACATTTTGTTGTATTACAGCCTGAATTCAAAATGGATTCAATATATTTTGTTCTCTCCCATCTACACACAAGACCCCATAATGACAAAGTGAAAACATGTTGTTAGAAATGTTTGATTAAAAGAAAATTAAATACTGAAATAGTTCATTTATACTGAACAAAAATATAAACACATGCAACAATTTCAAAGAGTTACAGTTCAGATAAGGAAATCAGTCAATTGAAATAAATTCATGAGGCCCTAATCTATGGATTTCACATGACTGGGAAGACAGATATGCATCTGTTGGTCAGAGATATATATATATTTTTTAGGTAGTGGCGTGGATCAGAAAACCATTCAGTATATGGTGTGACCACCATTTGCCTCACGCAGCAGCAGCACAACACATCTCCTTTGCATAGAGTCGATCAGGCTGTTGATTGTGGCCTGTGGAATGTTGTCCCACACCTCTTCAATGGCTGTGCAAAGTTGCTGGATATTGTCAGGAACTGGAACACGCTGTCGTACGCGTCAATCCAGAGCATCCCAAACATGCTCAATGGGTAACATGTCTGGTGAGTATGCAGGCCATGGAAGAACTGGGACATTTTCAGCTTCCAGGAATTGTGTACAGATCCTTGCGACATGGGGCTGTGTATTATCATTCTGAAACATGAGGTGATGGCGGCGGATGAATGGCACAGGAATGGGCCTCAGGATCTCGTCACGGTATCTCTGTGCATTCAAATGGACATCGATAAAATGCAATTGTGTTTGTTGTCCGTAGCTTATGCCTGCCCATACCACAGTGCCATGTATTCATGGATGCCAAGGGAAGCCAGGCTTCCCCAAATATTTGACCAAGAAAAATAAATAAATATATAAAATAATGTATCTTTCGTCTCTTTCTGTGTTTTCATAATTTTCCGTCAATTCACAAGTAGCTGAATCTCACCGGAGAAATCATCAGAGCGAGGGAAACAGTGCCCCTCCGTCTCAGTATGTGTAACCCATGTACCTGAAGCTGTCGGGACAAAAAGAGTATAACATGATACAGCCGTAGCATTTGATTGATTGATGCCAGCAAGCATTTGAACTCCCTTGATATATATATATTTATAAGAACTAACCAGTTAGCGTTGAGCTATGTTCAACTGTGGGTTGACCCAGTGCAGCAACCCCCCCCCCCCGCCCCCCCCAAGTGAGGCCAGTTTGGATTTGACTTCAGACCAATCAAATCACTTCCTTTGCAAAATGTCATTTTCAGAAAAATCTGTCTGTTTTTGGTCTGCTTGTGTTGAAGTCCGGCAGTAGCTAGCTTGCTAAATCGGCCCTTTCCTAAGCCATGGATGGAGATGGGGATTTGGACTTGTGGTTTTGACTTAATTCTCTGTACAGGCCAATGATTATGACGCCGATTCTGATCTAACCATAAATTAATATGTTGTGCCTCTGGCCTGAGACAATTGAAGTTCAATATGTCGCCTACAGGTGGATGGATTATCTTGACAAAGGAGAAATGCTCACTAACAGGGATGTAAACTCATTTGTGCACAACATTTGAGAGAAATAAGCTTTTTATGCATATGGAACATTTCTGGGATCTTTTATTTCAGCTCATGAAACATGGGACCAACACTTTACATATTGCATTTATATTTTTGTTCAGTGTACTTACTGTAAGTATTCACACCCCTTTGCTATGACACTCCAAATTGAGCTCAGGTGCATCCAATTTCCTTTGATCATCCTTGAGATGTCACTACACAGAGTTTCCCAAACTTGGTCCTGGGGACCCCAAGGGGTGCACGTTTTGGTTTTTGCCCTAGCACTACACAGCTGATTCAAATAATGAACTCATCATCAAGCTTTGATTACTTCAATCAACTGTGTAGTGCTAGGGCCAAAACCAAAACGTGCACCCCTTGGGGTCCCAGGACTGAGTTTGGGAAACGCCGCACTACAATGTGATTGGAGTCCACCTGGGGTCTGAATACTTTCTCAAGGCACTGAATACATTTTCAAATAACTGGCCTTTTTCTGGGACGCAAATTACTTTGATGAACAAATCGATGTGGAAAAAAAATCTGTGCCCAGTGTTTCCAAACTCCAGTCCTTGAGTACCCCCAACACATAGTTAGATAGCATTGCAGTGTTACTGTAATTCCAAAAATGTACATTCAGATTTTATTTTTATTCATGTTTTTATTCACCCCGGACAAGCACATCTGATTCTACTTGTCAACTAATCATCAAGCCCTTGACAAGTTGAATCAGGTGTTTTTGTCAAGGGCTCAGATGTTATCTGTATGTTGATAGTTTTTATGTTGGTGTCTGTACTTTACTATTTATATTTTTGACAACTTTTACTTCACTACATTCCTAAAGAAAATTATATACTTTTTACTCCATACATTTCCCCTGACACCCAAAAGTACTTGTTACATTTTGAATGCTTAGCAGGCCAGGAAAATTGTCAAATTCACACACTCAAGAGAACATCCCTGTTCATCCCTACTGCCTCTTATTTGGCAGACGCACTAAACACAAATGCTTCATTTGTAAATGATGTTGGAGTGTGCCTCTAGCTATCTGTAAAAAAATGTCCCATTTGGTTTGCTTAATATAAGGAATTTTAAACTATTTATACTTGTACTTTTACTTTTGAAACTTAAGTATATTTTAGCAATTACATTCTTAAGTATATTTAAAACCAAATACTTTTAGACCTTTACTCAAGTAGTATTTTATTGGGTGACTTTCACTTACTTGAGTGAAGCTCCTCTGGGTGTAAACTCTGTAGATTTGAAACTAGAAGTGCTCCTGAGTAGAATCCCCCCCTTACAGCAACACGTACAGAAAAATGTGTTTGGCGCAATAAATGATAGGAGTACACAAAAAAAAAAAACATTGACCATTTAGGCTTGAACATAAATAAATAAATTCACATATCTTATAGAAATACTTGTAATTATTCTTTGTTTGAGAACTAGTATAAAATGTATCGATAATTGTTCACATGTACCTACATTTCTGTTCTAATTATTAATTTACAGTATACAGCATGGGACACTTAATCTGAAGGATTCAAAAAATCTGTGACCCGGAAGTACTTAGTTATTGTTGTCTGCTTCACAGTGGCGTAAACAAGCGCCAGTTTTCATTGAATGGGAAAGCATTTATCGTTTATTCGGTGTATTCAATTCAAATAATGGAAAATACAAACCAAACGGACCATTGACAGGTATCTCTTTCGGAGAAACGCTATATATAAACGGTAAGTAGTTGTTTTCTCCCCCAATCACCATCCCCATCCTACCAACACCTCGCCGTGTTGAGAATCCGATTTCATGTGCTCTGCGCGCGCTTCATATGAAAACAACTTGGCCAGCAAGATAATTCTGCTCTGATCTCCTATCCGGTTGGATAAAGGATCGTGTGTTTCATTTTATTTTCACTTATCACAACATTTAGCGAATCCCAGTTTGTTAGATACATTTGCCGAAACTAAACACTAATATTTCAGTAATCCATGCCATGGCCTCCTGTGATAAGTAAACACTTAACCAATTTAATGTCATCGGTCACAATAGTGTTAAAATAAACATTTGTACTTTACAGACTCTAGAGAAGTTTAAGTTGTGCTTATCAACAAATAAGTAATATATTATTCATTATTAAGGTGTCTAGTATGATTCAGAGAAGTTTCATATGATTTCTCAAAATGGTCAAAAGACCAGTTCTTCCAACTCACGAGTTCTTGCTCTGAGGACACACACACACACACACACACACATCATCACTGATAACACACACACACACACACATCATCACTGTTAAACACACACACACACACACACACATCATCACTGTTAAACACACACACACACACACACAAAAATCCCCTCTCTTTAGGCTGAACATTTGAAGACAGAGAACCCGACTCAGAGCCAATGCAACAGTGGAGGGGACCTCGCCCAACTCATCAGGACCAATCAGAAGATCAGAACTACTAGATTCAACCTACATCATTTATTGTATAAAATGTCAGCACACAATGTTTTCGGGGCTCTCTTCAGATAGCTCCCTAAGAGTTTGACGAACGAGTCCGTGCACGCGATTCCAGATATCTTTACCTCTGAATAAACTGCCTTTATTATACCATATCCACCCTGTCCAAAGTCTCTACTTGGTCTCAGTTCTCCAGTAAACTTGTGATTATCAACAGTACACAACGGTAACAAACAATTGGGGGAACTCACGGGGCAGATAGTAAGGTCGCAGTGACACAGAAAGCAGTTCAATGTCGGGGCTCGGGGGTACAGAGTCGCTCTCTTACCAGGATCGATTTTCCCTGTGACTGTCAGATCGAGGTCCGCTCCGACCAGGGTGAAGCCGGCCGGCTCCACTTCTCTGTCCGGGACTCTGTCATCCAGCCAAGTCTCCCAGCTGTATTGGATTCCGCTGCCAGCAACGTTTTCATTATTTAGTCCGTTCGTAGCGGGTATGTACACGATCAACAAGATCAGTCCAAAACCCACCACTGGAAATCCATGGTTGGCAGAATGTTTGTAAACTAAGTGTACAAATTAAAAACATAAAATAACGCCACTAAGTGTACAAATTAAAAACATAAAATAACGCCACACTGCAGGTCGCAACAGAGACGCTGCTAGCCGCTATTTGCTTAGTTACGTTCATGGTTACGTCACGTATGACGAAAGCGCGTAAGTGCAGTAAGTATAAATCTCCAATGTGTACTTTTATAGACGAATTTTGCACCAGAAGTCTGTATTCAACTGCTTAAAAAACAAATACATTATTGACATTTTTACATGTTTTCTTTGTAAATATAATGTTTAAAGGGTCTAGTTTACATATGTGCCTTCATTTTCAATACATTGAATCCATGACCAAGAGTATGTGGACGCCTGCATGTCGAACATCTCATTCAAAAATCATGGCCATTAATAGTTGGTCCCCCCTTTGCTGCTATAACAGCCTCCACTCTTCCGGGAAGGCTTTCCACTAGATGTTGGAACATTGCTGCGGGGACTTGCTTCCATTCAGCCACAAGAGCATTAGTGAGGTCGGGCACTGATGTTGGGCGATTAGGCCTGGCTCGCAGTAGGCGTTCCAATTCATTGAGTTTAGGGCTTTGTGCAGGCCAGTCAATTTCTTCCACACCGATCTCGACAAACCATTTCAGTATGGACCTTACTTTGTGCACGGGGGCATTGTCATGCTGAAACAGGAAAGGGCCTTCCAAACCGTTGCCACAAAGTTGGATGGTCAGAATTGTCTAGAATGTCATTGTATGATGTAGCGTTAAGATTTCCCTTCACTGGAACTAAGGGGCCTAGCCCGAACCATGAAAAACAGCCCAGACCATTATTCCTCCTCCACCAAACTTTACAGTTGGCACTATGCATTGGGGCAGGTAGCTTTGTCCTGGCATCCGCCAAACCCAGATTCATCCGTCGGACTGCCAGATGGTGAAGATGATTCATCACTCTAAAGAACTCTAGAGTCCAATAGCGGCGAGCTTTACACCACTCCAACCGATGCTTGACATTGTGCATGGTGATCTTAGACTTGTGTGCGGCAGCTCGGCCATGGACACCCATTTCATGTATCTCCCGACCAAAACAGTTATTGTGCTGACGTTGCTTCCAGAGGCAGTTTGGAACTCGCCGGTACCGTTCTGTGAGCTTGTGTGGCCTACCACTTTGTGGCTGAGCCGTTGTTGCTCCTAGATGTTTCCACTTCACAACAACAGCACTTACAGTTGACCGGGGCAGCTCTAGCAGGGCAGAAATTTTACGAAATGACTTGTTGGAAAGGTGGCACCCTATGATGGTGCCACGTTGAAAGTCACTGAGTTCTTCAGTACGGGCCATTCTACTGCCAATGTTTGTCTATGGAGATTGCATGGCTGTGTGCTCGATTTTATACACCTCTCAGCAACGGGTGTGGCTGAAATAGCCGAATCTACTGATTTGAAGGGGCGTCCACATATTTTTCTATATATAGTGTATATGAAAATATCTTAGCAGTCACATTTGCTGCAATTTATTATAAATATTTAATCATAGCAGGTGTATTTATCTTTTCCGTGGATTTAAGTTGAGTTGGGTTATGGATATACATTTTTATACATATACTTGACCAATATGATCTTACAAATGATTTTACCATTATCCATTAGCCTTTACATATGTTTAAATCAGTGATTCTGACTAAAACTTAATATTTTGTTATTTCACGGGAATTGGCCATGTATAGACCCATAAACTGAATTTGACATTTTAGTAATTTAGCAGACGCTCTTATCCAGAGCGACTTACAGTTAGTGAGTGCATACATTTTCATACTGGCCCCCCGTGGGAATCGAACCCACAACCCTGGCATTGCAAACGCCATGTTCTACCAACTGAGCTACAGGGGGCCTGTGAATTAGTGTAGTACCTTAACAAATATTGAATGTCAATAGGTTTGTTTAGTGTCTCTTGCTCAATGGTAGACCTGATGTATGTGAGTTTTGCTGAATAGTCACAAGGGTAGACCTGGTTTATCAGAGTGTTGGGACATAACCACAGGTGTAAACCTGGTTCGTATGGGTATTTGAGCTGAAATATGCAGGTGTAGGTCTGGTTTATATTAGTATTGCGACTCAGTCAAAGGTGTGGACCTGGTTTGTAAGAGTTCTGGAGCTGAGGTGCAGGGGTGGTTTACAGTTTATGAGTATTCAGGCTTCGGAGAAATGCAGGAGTACACCTATTTTTATGACAATTGGGGCTGATGTAGCAGTAGAGCTGTTAAAAAATAATAATCTAGATTGGGTTAGACATGCAGGTGTACGTACAGTGCATTTGGAAAGTATTTAGACCCCTTGCCTTATTCTAAAATGGATTACATTGGTTTTGTTTCTCATCAATGTACACACAATACCCCATAATGACAAAGGAAAAACTGTTTTTTATACATTTTTGCAAATTTATAAAAAAAAAAAACGTAAATATTACATTTACGTAAGTATTCAGACCCTTTACTCAGTACTTTGTTGAAGCATCTTTCCCTCCATCCTGACTAGTCTCCCAGTCCCTGCCGCTGAAAAACATCCCCACAGAATGATGCTGCCACCACCATGCTTCACCGTAGGGATGGTGGCAGGTTTCCTCCAGACGTGACACTTGGCATTCAGGCCAAAGAGTTCAATCTTGGTTTCATCAGACCAGAGAATGTTGTTTCTCATGGTCTGAGAGTCCTTTAGGGTGCCTTTTGGCAAACTCCAAGCGGGCTGTCGTGCCTTTTACTGAGGAGTGGCTTCCGACTGGCCACTCTACCATAAAGGCCTGATTGGTGGATTGCTGCCGAGATGGTTGTCCTTCTGGAAAGTTCTCCCATCTCCACAGAGTGATCATCAGGTTCTTGGTCAACTCCCTGACCAAGGCCATTCGCCCCCGATTGCTCAGTTTGGCCGGCCGGCCAGCTCTAGGAAGAGTCTTGGTGGTTACAAACTTCTTCCATTTAAGAATGATGGAGGCCACTGTGTTCTTGGGGACCTTCAAGGCTGCAGAAATGTTTTGGTACCCTTCCCCAGATCTGTGCCTCAACTCAATCCTGTCTCGGAGCTCTATGGACAATTCCTTCGACCTCATGGCTTCGTTTTTGCTCTGACATGCACTGTCAACTGTGGGACCTTATATAGACAGGTTTGGGCCTTTCCAAATCATGTCCAATCAATTGAATTGACCACAGCTGGACTCCAATCAATTTGTAGAAACATCTCAAGGATGATCAATGGAAACAGGATGCACCTGAGCTCAATTTCGAGTCTCATATAAAGGGTCTGAATACTTATGTAAAAAAGGTCTTTCTGTTTTTTATTTTGTATTTTTTGCAAACTTTTCTAAAAACCAGTTTTCGCTTGGTCATTATGGGGTATTGTGTGTAGATTGAGGAAATGTTTTATTTAATCCATTTTAGAATAAGGCAGTAACGTAACAAAATGTGGAATAAGTCAAGGGGTCTGAATACATTTACATTACATTTTAGTCATTTAGCAGATGCTCTTATCCAGAGCGACTTACAGTTAGTGAATACATATTTTTTTATACTGGCCCCCCGTGGGAATCGAACCCACAACCCTGGCGTTGCAAACGCCATGCTCTATCAACTGAGCTACATCCCTGCCGGCCATTCCCTCCCCTACCCTGGACGACGCTGGGCCAATTGTGCGCCGCCCATGAGTCTCCCGGTCGCGGCCGGCTGCGACAGAGCCTGGATTCGAACCAGGATCTCTAGTGGCACAGTTAGCACTGCGATGCAGTGCCTTAGACCACTGCGCCACTCAGGAGTCTCTACGAATGCACTGTATTGGGGCTAAGGATTAGGGGTAAATGTTGGTTAATTTTATTATAGGCAGAGCACTGTATTTTTCGCTCGCTCTCTTTTTCTCTCGCTCTTGCTCGCTCTCTCTCTCTCTCTCTCTCTCTAAAAAGCAATACGGATTACATGTTAGGGTTACTAATTGCATAAGATTTGCATAGTGGCATGTCTGGCAAAAATGTGGGAGTGAATGGTTTATGAGTATTACCTGGTTTACTACTACCATTACTATTGTTACAGTAGTTACTATCACCTGTTCCTTAACTACTATGTCCACTTCACTTGTTGTGTTTTCCAAGCAGAGGCTATAAGCAGGTGGTGTAGGTGGGGTGCCCGTGGAGAGAGAGATGAGACAGTGGAGACAGCTTGGCACAGAACCACTGGACCAATGAGCTGACACTGGCAGGGAGCCCTGAGACAGGCAGACAGGAGGCCACCGGACCAGGACATCTAGTGGACTCCAGAACGCCTCACCATGCCCATAGTAGTTCCATGCATTTCAATCTAGGGTAGCCTGAGGAGGAAGCTAGCATGTGGGGCATGGAAGAACGTATGGATATGGACCACGATGAAGAGGAGGAGGGTTTCAGTTGGGAAGAACCAGGAGAGGATGATTGGACTGCACCACTTCTATCACCATCACATCATCAGAGTAGACCCACAGCCAGTAACTCTGCTAGCCCCTCACAAATAAAAACACAGCCCAATGGGTTCAGGATGCGGAGGCTGCTGCGCTGGCATGGACTCAGTAGGACTGTGAACCGCCGCACTCGCTTGGCCCTGCATTGGAGGACATGGTGCCAGCGGGCTAAATGGGCTGGGACTTTGGGCCTGGGGTACAGGCGAGCTAGGACTAGGATGTGGCACCGCAGGAACAGACATCTCCACAGCAGACTGAAGCCAGGAAGATCCCGTCTGAATGGGGGATCTCAAGGCTGCTTTCAGGAAAGGGAAGATATAGAGGCTGGAGATGGTATGTATAATGTTGTTGTTTTTGGACCAAATTTAATGTTGGATGTGTCATGAAATATGGAACATTAATATATGTAAACTGGAAGTTGTATCAGAATTACTTGTTTCCCTCCACCCCCTTTCCTTAATTTGTCTTCAAAAATTAGCAGTAGCATTTCATGAAAGAAAGAATGATCACAGACTGTTCTGTAGAGCTGAAATGGTTAATAAAGGTTAATATCTTTTACACAACCTGCACCCATCTCCTGTTTTTCCTCAGACTCTTGGGCATGTGGGACTAATGGACTCATAGGGAATGAGGTGGCGAGCAATGCAGCCAAGGTTGGGGACAGGGACGGGCTGGGCTTCCATGAATCACCTATAGGCCTGCCAACCATCCACAAGGATAAACCTCCTCCTCAGCAGCAACTCAGCAGTGAACACATCTCCTGTGTACAAGGTAAAACAGCTTTGAGTACTAGTCTACTTTTCTGATAAAAACCAATGGAAAACCACACTAGGTAGGGCTGAACCCATTTAGCCGACTGGTCGATTGTTTGGTCGATAGGCTGTTGGTCGACCGAGATTTCTTTAGTTGAGCAGTCGCAAATATACTTTTTTGTTTCATGGTGCACAAGACACCTGTCTGATTCGCTCCTGTCTCAGTGGACTAATCCATTGCGGAGGCCACTGGGATTGCACAGTCCATCACTCTAAGTCATGTGATACTGAAATTGTATATGGTTATATTATGTACAAATAATGGTGCAACACTAATAAATCGAATATTATTTTATAACATGCGCTTTCTGCCGCGTTGAATACAGTCGCTGTCCGCGGTTATGAAACATAATCTTCAGTGCGCCGTAGAATTGGCGCCTTTCCCTATGTTGTTATGTGCATAATAGCAAAATGAACCAGCATATTAGGATTGAGAACAATGCGGCGGAGGCAGCAGCAGTAGAGACGAGGAAACAGCCCTTGCTTTAGCCTAATTGTCTAAGAAAATTGAGGAGAGAGGAAACCCCAATTTAATTAGGTCTATAATCAACAGCCTAACTGTTAAATGTGCCTGGCTTTATAAATCATCCAAATATATCTACAGAAATAAGACCGATCCTGCTTCTGTTGCCTGTTTGAGTGTTTGTTTAATAGCCTACTGATTCTGTGAGCACCAAGCCTCATGCAACGGCAAAATGTTGAATAAAGCAATTTGACAGATGTTTCTGTTTTTAATCTTTGCTATGCTGTAATAAAGGCTTTAGAATTTTTTCGCGTTAGAACAGACAGGTATTACTACTTATTTACACTGTTCCAAACAGGCAGAAAAATACAATTGTAATTTAACTGCACCTGCTTGTCACACATAATATGCACACAGCTCTCGCTCCAATACCCTCCTTTTTCTTCATCTCCTTATTGTTATTATTCAAATTATTATTATGATCATCATTATAATAATAAGGAATGTCGTTATCATTAGTAGGCTTTGTATAGTAGCCTTGTATAACCACCATTGAGCTGTAGGCCTAAGGGCGCGTCCTGTTTAGTCTTAATACCGTAACTTACTTAGGCCTATATTTCAATATATAGGCTACTGTATCAATCAATCATTCATTTGTTCATGCCATCGCACAGCATACGAGACATTCATGCTTTGAAATGCAATCAAACATTTTAGTTTTAAAATTTAAATAAAGGGAGCTTTGAATATTAGCACACACAATACTCACGCAACGCTTGCTCCTATACCCTCCTTTTTCTTGTTCTCAAGTAGTTTCCACAACTAAGTCAAATGTCTTCCATAGATCTGACTTCCCCTTTCCCTCCTGAGCAACCAGTAAACATTCGGCCATTTCAAGTTTATTTTTCACGTCCTCCGATCCATTTTGTTGTCACGTGTTACTGCGTTTGTAGTTTTCTTATTACCAATTTATTGAAGTGATTATGATAGGTTATAGGTCAGGTCCTATTGGTCACATGCATGCGATGCTTACATGTTTCACGCAAAGAGCGCAAGGGTTGAGGGAATAGGGATTGTTTTTCCTAATCAAATTCGGGATTTCAGTAACAGAACTTTTCAGTCAGAAACAAGTATGAAACTAAATGGCTGAAATGATGTTGCAGCTTCAGCACGGACAGCGCAATGAACACTTGCTGTGCTGTGGTGCCTTTTCGCTGCAGTAGGGAGGAAAGTGAGACAACGTGCGCCAATCACACAGGCACTCGCTGTCATTTTTTAAAACGCAGTGCGAGTCATTTGTGTGTCTTAATTATTTAATCAAACAGTGTGCTTAAAGCATCAGACAAGCTCAGTGCATATGCAGATGATTTTATTCAAACACTTAGGGTGTGTCTGTCTATATATGGAAAAATAAGTTTAAACATTTCGATTAATCGATTGGTCGAAAGAACAGGACGACTTTCGGTCGACCAAGATTTATTTTAGTCGGGGACAGTCCTCATTGCCTACTATAGATATAGAATTATTAATTCACTCCAGATGTGGTAGGCTAATGAAGAAAGATGCCTAAATGGTCCATTAATGGGTTAGGGTCAACGTTGACTGGGCGAAGATTAATTAGAATTTATGCATTGATTGAGCTCTATCTCCAGACTGAAGCTTTGACCATAGAGATCTAATATAACACAATGTGATAAAAACATTAATTTGGTGATTCTATAATAAAATATGTTCTATTTAATTTGTGTGGCTTTGTGACTGTCCCCGCTCTCTCCCAGGGATGTTGAATGAATTCCTACAGCAGTACGGGAGCATGATCCCTATCCATGTGGATGAGGTGGTGGACAAGCTACAGGACATCTTCCCCAGCAAGAGCTTCTCCGATCCACACAGGTTTGTCACGTAATTGGCCTTTAACCTCATCATGCTCATTGCATATCAGCATCCTGGGTCATTTTCGTTAGGCACACAATGGGATATACTTTTAAACGTTTTGCAATGGGAAATGAAAACGAGCGTTTCTTATTGTACAAGTCCAAGTAGTCCCTCCCCATCTGCGGTTCGGAATATTTGGTGCCTAATGAACGTGTGTTGTATTTTCATGTTGAAAAGTGTCTCATTCATTGTTGTTGTGTCCCTTCCAAAGGAAAGTGGTTGTGCAGCACCTCATCCAGTCTTACCAGCGTCTGTCTGGGACTGCCATGGTGAGGGGGTTCTGTGTCAACTACAAGCGACATGCCCTCACAATGGATGACCTCAGCACGTTGTATGGACAGAACTGGCTCAATGACCAGGTACTTCTACTCTTTAACATTTGAAAAGAACACTGTGTATTTTCTGAGCCACAGTAGTAGCACATCTCAGTTGGTTTGTCTTGGTCAGGCCAAATCACCTCACGTTTTGGACATTTTGTGAGAAAAAATTGTTTTACTTGACCAGTTTATGAAATATTTCATAGATACTGAGTTATGATTCAGTATAGAATAGAGTGTGTGATTTTCATTTCTTTTTCAGTGTGTGATTTATGTAAACATTGTGACTAAATAATATAAATATTTGTGTTTTTCAGAAATTATGTTAAAGTTTTGTCTTTAATGATATCTTGTCTTGGAACCACAGATCATGAACATGTATGGGGATTTGGTTATGGACACAGTCCCAGAAGAGGTGAGAAAAATAACATGCCTTATAATATGAATGTCAAATATGTTTTGGAGAGAGAAATTGTGATGACATTTAGGTGCTGGCATCCTCTTACCTCATCGGTCATGTTATGCCCCATTCCTCATTTGCAAGTATTTTTCCCGTCAACACAGGAAAGCCCCACTATTGTGTGTGTGCACAAACTCACCTTGTGTATTATGTGTTCCCATTCACACCGTGGCTACTGTCCTCTCCTCTTTCTTTCAGGTTCATTTTTTCAACAGCTTTTTTTACGACAAGTTGAGGACAAAGGGCTATGACGGGGTCAAACGGTGGACAAAAAATGTGAGTTATCCCTGGCGGAATTTCATTTAGCATGTGTTCTATAGTTTAGTCATGTTGTCAAGTGTGTTTGTTTGTTTGTATATTTGTTTTGTTTTGTATCACCACGTCAGAAGATTATTTTATATTTTTTTTACATCAACAATGCACACTGATCAGCATTTCTGTAAATATATCACTGTAGTCCCTGGAGAGAAAATAAAAGTAGAGAGAACATTTTTGTAAAAAATCAAATTAAGTTTCCACCCATACCCTTTTCTCCAGGTGAACATTTTCCAGAAGAGGCTACTGTTGATCCCTATCCATCTGGAGGTGCACTGGTCTCTGGTGTGTGTGGATGTCCCACAGCGCGCCATCACATACTTCGACTCCCAGCGCACCCTCAACCGCCGCTGCCCAAAGGTCTGTGTAGTGTACCTCCCTGTGCTTAAAGCCTATCTGTGCGGTCGGACCTGTGCAGTCATACGGATGTGGAAAGTATAAATCTGCCTTTATGCCAGTACAAACACTCCATCAGTCAGTCTGCTCATTTGGATCTATAGCAGTGGTATTGAAACTTTTTCAGCGGGAACCCCATTTTTTCAGCCAGAATTTCAGAGGACCCTATTTGTTCCCCAATAATTTCTCACGACCCCACCCCAAAACTAATGACAAAATGAAAAGAAACCAATAAATACATTTACTCAATAAAAGTTTCTCACATGATCTTTCTCAAAAACGTTTGTATACTGTCCCATACAATAATCTGTACTCTTGATTTTTTTGTTAATAAAATGTTTTGTTCCCCCGCGACCCCGACTTTGAAAACCACTGATCTGTAGGGAGCACATCTGCTCCTCTCAGTGGACATACTTGTATATCTTTTATCCCTCAGTGGATTCATATTCACCCATGTATTTCTCTTGATTTTTTAGCACATTGCAAAATACTTACAGGCTGAGGCAATCAAGAAAGAGCAGAAGGATTTTATCACAGGGTGGAAGGGTTTCTTCAAAATGGTAAGAGGGCTTTTGGATTTTTGGTGGGCAATGTTTATTTGTGAGTTGATACCATGTTTTTGTGATGGTTGTTGTTGTCCCATGTGCTTCCCAGAACGTGGGCAGGCAGAACAATGACAGCGACTGCGGAGCATTTGTCCTTCAGGTGGGTTAACTTAAATATCATTATTCATATTTCAATATCAACAGAACCTAAAGTGCAATCTGTCTATTTCTACAACGGGTGGGTCTAATCCTGAATGCTGAATGCTGGTTAAAAGCGCATTTCAGCCAGTGTCTATTCCACAAGTTACCACCGGCTAAATCTATAACGTTAAAATGCCTATTTACTCTGTTCCATCTGACTGCGCAATCTACTGTCTCATCAGCCCAGCTAGGCAAGTTATCCACTTGATCTCCACTATAAAAAACATCTAGACATTATCTCACATTTCTTTCAGACTAACATTTAGTTTTCAACAGCGGAGATTTGTATAAACCTTGCTGTCTCTCTGACATTTGCAACATTGTTTCAATATTCAAATTCGATCTCCAGCTGTCCCATAATAATGAACGAGTTGGGACGAAACAGACAGGCAGGCAGTATTTCTCAGCCAGTCGAAATCATGAATCAGCTGGCATCATTTTTATGGATATATACAAAGAAATGTCAATTGAAAAAAGGTAAAACTAAACGAAGCGTAGCCACTGTAGTTTGCAGTCTTTCCAGCTTCAATTTGAAGTGATTGTGTTAGCTGTGGTGTTGGCTAGCTCCTCTGAACAAGTGTCCTGACGAGAGAGCACATTCTCTATGCCTGCGAAATCGCACCTCAGTAGCTCATTGTTATGGATGTATCCAAATAAATGTCACTAGAAAACAGCTTAAACAAATGCAAATGAAGCTACTTTGCTGTTATTCTGGCAGCACTTTTTGACGTGACTGTAAGTTAGCCGTAGTTGGCTAGCTAGCAAGCAAGGGATAAGAACGTTGCCAGCCAGTATGGCAATGGAACATTTAGAACGAACGACTGGGTCGCGTCCCTAGATACAGAACAAAAAGACTGAACGACTGGGTCGCGTCTCTGGCAACCGAACCAATAGAACGAACGACCAGCCGGCTTGGGTAGCAACCCTAGATTTGTGTCGGAACTATATCTTGTGGAAGGATGAAATGGTATGAATAAATGAATCAAAACGTTTTTAATGAAAGTATGTCAATCATTATTTGAATATGTTGGTAAACCGTTGTATAGAAGTGATAATGCCCTCGAAGCCGGTGTTTGGAGGATATATTGGCACAGTTTGCCGGACCTTGACTTTGTCTCGGGCCTATCAACACCCGTTGCCAATATATCCTTCAAACACCGGCTTCTCGGGCATTATCACTTAACTAATCATGTTCTTTGAAAACTTTGTTAACAACACACTTTATCGTATGCTACACACAAACCGGTAGAAAATTAATTTGCTTTGAAATCTATCGTAAATACAGTATACTATATCATTGCATTTGCCATTGATATTGACATTAACTTCGCTTAGTTTTTCTGTTTTTTTCCCCCACAGTACTGTAAGTACCTAGCCTTGGAGCAGCCGTTCAGTTTTGGCCAGCTGGACATGCCAAAGCTGCGGAGACTCATGTACAAAGAGTTGTGTCATTGCAAGCTCTCACTGTGAGCTTGAATGAAACAACTATCACAGAACGAAAGAAGACGAAGACTATTCACCCTTCCCTTCCCCCAACTCTCTAGGCAGATATTTTTTTTAACAAGATGGACATTGTTGCATTTTTTTCTTTCTCACACCCACTCACTCTTTATATCTGTTTATTTTCCCTTTTGATTTAAGTAAACAGTACTGTACTCTCCTATGAGATCCTATGAGGACACTAAATTGTACTCCTGAGTGGCGCAGTGGTCTAAGGCACTGCATCGCAGTGCAAACTGTGCCACTAGAGATCCTGGTTCGAATCCAGGCTCTGTCGCAGCCGGCCGCGACCGGGAGACTCATGGGCGGCGCACAATTGGCCCAGCGTCGTCCAGGGTAGGGGAGGGAATGGCCGGCAGGGATGTAGCTCAGTTGATAGAGCATGGCGTTTGCAACGCCAGGGTTGTGGGTTCGATTCCCACGGGGGGCCAGTATAAAAAAAATATGTATTCACTAACTGTAAGTCGCTCTGGATAACAGCGTCTGCTAAAAGACTAAAATGTAAATGTAAACAACCAAACGGTTGTTGCACTTAGGGTGTGATGTGTGAGAGAGATTTTTTTTGTCCTTGATGTTGTTGAGGGTTTGGGGATAGCCAGGGGTATAGTGTTAAAAATAAAATAACTTTCATTTAAGTCTTGATGAAGTGTTGATGGACCACAACCTTATTTTCAGTTGATTTGTATTCATTTTTAGAAAACATGGTTTGTGGTCCATGTACTTTTTGGCCAATTAATATTTCCTATAAGATGACAAGATAAAAAAACGAGTGAAGGGTCGTTCCTTGTTTATTTGACTTGAATCTGAAATCAATCAACACAAACGGTTTTGTTTTTATTGTCTAAAGGAAATATGAAATAACGAGAAACGTGATAATGATTTGAATATTCAAATGTTGTGTTTTTAATTATCGGTTCTGGTTCAACCTGTGCACCAGTACGTTTTGACCAATTATTAGTCGTGGCTTGCTGACAACACAGAAAATTATAAATGGGTCATTCTTCATGTTTTTGATCTTACATATTATGTAATCGAATAAACAGATAAACATTATCAATGTTTTTTTTGTTTTTGATTTTTTTTGTTTCTCTTTTCAATGATTTGATGCTTGACAGTCACTGTAGTGGGTCATGTGCTCAGTCCAAATTGGCCAATGTCAGTGAGACAGCCACTTCCACAACTTTTACAACCTTAAGCACTTTAACCTGGAGTCTATATAATTGTGGATGGACTAAAAAACATGCAACTTATCACCACACCACAAGCTTCAGTGCCTACGTGTTTAGACTACATAACCACTCGATTTTAAAGGAAAGCATGAATGGCATTCAATATTCCGTTATAGAGGCATTTAATCATGGGCAGCAGCCGCGGTCTGGTGAAATTTGCGCGTTCATGATCTACACAATGGTCTTGACCCGTGGAGAATAGTTTCTCGTTTTACCCATTTCAGGATCTGGACATTTCTCATGAGCCTATAAACTATACTGAACAAAAATATAAACGCAACATGCAACAATTTCAACGATTTTACTGCGTTACATACAGTTCATGTATGGAAATCAGTCAATTGAAATAAATTCATTAGGCGCTAATCTATGGATTTTACATGACTGGGCAGGGGTGCACTGGGGAGCCAGGCCCAGCCAATCAGAACAAGTTTTTCCCCCACAAAAGGGCTTTATTACAGACAGAAATACTCCTCAGTTTCATCAGCTGTTCACGTGGCTAGTCTCAGACGATCCCTCAGGTTTAGAAGCCGGATGTGGAGGTCCTGGGATGGCGTGGTTACACATGGTCTGCGGTTGTGAGGCAGGTTGGACATACTGCCAAATAATCTAAAATGATGTTGGTAGAGAAATGAACATTATATTCTCTGGCAACAGCTCTGGTGGACATTCCTGCAGTCAGCATGCTAATTGCACGCTCCCTCAAAACTTGAGACATCTGTGGCATTGTTGTGTGTCAAAAAGTGGCCTTTTATTGTCCCCAGCACAAGGTGCACCTGTGTAATGATCATGCTGTTTAATCAGCTTCTTGATATGCCACAACTGTCAGCTGGATGGGTTATTTTGGCAAAGGAGAAATGCTCACTAACATGGATGTAAACACATTTGTGCACAACATTTGAGTGAAACATGGGACCAACACTTTACATGTTGCGTTTATATCTTTGTTCAGTATACACCAATAATTAGGTATGATAAAAAACTGATCTCTCCGATGCGCAACCAAGCGTTTAAAAGGCACTGCATTTTCAATCTGACATCTGCATTGGCTGTGCAGCATTTACAGTGAGAGAAAAAAGTATTTGATCCCCTGCTGATTTTGTACGTTTGCCCACTGACAAAGACATTACATTTACATTTTAGTCATTTAGCAGACGCTCTTATCCAGAGCAATTAGGGTTAAGTGCCTTGCTTAAGGGCACATCGACAGATTTTTCACCTAGTCGGCTCGGGGATTAGAACCAGCGACCTTCCGGTTACTGGCACAACGCTCTTACCCACTAAGCTACCTGGTTAGTCTATAATTTTAATGGTAGGTTTATTTGAACCGTGAGAGACAGAATAACAACAACAAAATCCAGAAAAACGCATGTCAGAAATGTTATAAATTGATTTGCATTTTAATGCAAAACATGACTTAGTACTTGGTGGCAAAACCCTTGTTGGCAATCACAGAGGTCAGACGTTTCTTGTAGTTGGCCACCAGGTTTGCACACATCTCAGGAGGGATTTTGTCCCACTACTCTTTGCAGATCTTCTCCAAGTCATTAAGGTTTCGAGGCTGACGTTTGGTAACTCGAACCTTCAGCTCCCTCCACAGATTTTCTATGGGATTAAGGTCTGGAGACTGGCTAGGCCACTCCAGGACCTTAATGTGCTTCTTCTTGAGCCACTCCTTTGTTGCCTTGGCCGTGTGTTTTGGGTCATTGTCATGCTGGAATACCCATCCACGACCCATTTTCAATATCCTGGCTGAGGGAAGGAGGTTCTCACCCAAGATTTGACGGTACATGGCCCCGTCCATCGTCCCTTTGATGCGGTGAAGTTGTCCTGTCCCCTTAGCAGAAAAACACCCCCAAAGCATAATGTTTCCACCTCCATGTTTGACGGTGGGGATGGTGTTCTTGGGGTCATAGGCAGCATTCCTCCTCCTCCAAACACGGCGAGTTGAGTTGATGCCAAAGAGCTCGATTTTGGTCTCATCTGACCACAACACTTTCACCCAGTTCTCCTCTGAATCATTCAGATGTTCATTGGCAAACTTCAGACGGCCCTGTATATGTGCTTTCTTGAGCAGGGGGACCTTGCGGGCGCTGCAGGATTTCAGTCCTTCACGGCGTAGTGTGTTACCAATTGTTTTCTTGGTGACTATGGTCCCAGCTGCCTTGAGATCATTGACAAGATCCTCCCGTGTAGTTCTGGGCTGATTCCTCACCGTTCTCATGATCATTGCAACTCCACGAGGTGAGATCTTGCATGGAGCCCCAGGCCAAGGAATATTGACAGTTCTTTTGTGTTTCTTCCATTTGCGAATAATCGCACCAACTGTTGTCACCTTCTCACCAAGCTGCTTGGCGATGGTCTTGTAGCCCATTCCAGCCTTGTGTAGGTCTACAATTTTGTCCCTGACATCCCTGGAGAGCTGTTTGGTCTTGGCCATGGTTGAGAGTTTGGAATCTGATTGATTGATTGCTTCTGTGGACAGGTGTCTTTTATACAGGGACACTCCCTTTAAGAGTGTGCTCCTAATCTCAGCTCGTTACCTGTATAAAAGACACCTGGGAGCCAGAAATCTTTCTGATTGAGAGGGGGTCAATACTTATTTCCCTCATTAAAATGCAAATCAATTTATAACATTTTGACATGCATTTTTCTGGATTTTGTTGTTGTTATTCTGTCTCTCACTGTTCAAATAAACCTACCATTAAAATTATAGACTGATAATTTCTTTGTCAGTGGGCAAACATACAAAATCAGCAGGGGATCAAATACTTTTTTTCCCTCACTGTATATATATTTTTAAGTATGTTCTCTTTGTGTTGTCTTGTTTATTTGTTTTGTCAGAATTGTGGAATGTGGGATCAGGTAAGGATGGACCATGGGAATGAGTTTTACCTCACTCTTTTTGTCCAACAGTAACTGTCAGTTTACAGGAACAACCTGGACAGACCACCTTACCTGCAAACCAAATCAACAAAAGTAGGTTGTTATGCACTGCACCAATGCTGCATCATTACATGACTACACATACACTCGGGTCACAGGACATGGGGCTACTTGTAGTGGGGTAGTATTTGATACATATGATATTATTATTATTATTATATTATTATATTATAAATATCTCACGTGCGACCCGTAATAAGACTAATTAATTAGCCCATTAAATGAATTTGTGGAACAGCCTACCTGTCCATGTGATGGAATCAGTGACATTCAATGACATTCGATAAAATGACTTGCTTAGTTAGGGGGTCTTGTTAGACTTCACTCCATGTCTTCTGGGCCTGTTTACTTTTTCTCTTGTTTGATGTTAAAGACAACTGTTAACTACAATTAACCCGTACTGTTTTTCAACATTTGTTTATGTAAACTTGTTTGTGACATTAAATGTTTAATAGGGGTTAATTGTGTTTTACTCATCTTGCTAATTGCACACCCCTAATGTTAGTGTTTTCTGAACATTGCCAGTTTTTTTTATAAAACATAATTTGTTAATGTACTGTCTCTGTGTGTGTGTGTGTTTATTACACTTGCATGTCTGTCATTGCAAAGCTCTACATTTGTATTGAATTTAACATTCAAATATACTCCAGGCTTAATTCCTGCTCATTACTGCCATCAAGTGGAATGTAACGGGGCTACTACATACAATTGAACTTTGTTTGTATCCATCAAAGCACATACATTGTATTTATTTGTTTATAAATACAGTTGAGTTTTAGGTCTGCATAGATGAATGAAAACGGTAAAACATTTTCTGAATCATTTTGTGTACTTTGGCACAAAAACTGTTTTGAGGAGTCTGAATCAGAATGACAGGGTCTGTGTCCCGTTATAGGACAGATGCACTTGTCTCATGAAAACACTGCGGTTGCACATATTGTACAGCATGATATATAGGCTAAGTTCCATGATATATAGGCTACATTCCATGATATATAGGCTACATTCCATGATATATAGGCTACATTCCATAA